AGTGCTGGGATTAAAGGCGGGCGCCACCAGGCATGGATGGGTGGGTGTTTTTCCTACAGAGTCTTGCTAAGTAGCCCACGCTAGCCTGGAATCCAGATCCCTCCTGCCTCTGCCTCCCAGTGCTGGGATAACAAGTGTGTATACCATGAAGTGTAACTTTTTCCTGGATTCTGAATGTGTTCACGCACCAAAATTTTCTGTCACAAAACGGGTATGAAGGTTAAAATGGCTCACCACATGTAGGTCATAAATGCACCCTGGGAGTCTACAGGATGGTGGTGTTGTCACAATAAAGAGACCCAGTATCTCCATCGAAGTTCACATTGGTGCTAGTTCCCAACCCAACACCATTAGCAGCAACTGTAGCATCACCGTGGAACATCCACCCGCCGCCCCCCATGCTAACTACCCCATTTTCAATAACATGAAGCTGACCCTTGGATCATTCACTGGAGAAACCACTGCATCACTCTGTCCTAGTGCAGGAGGTTGTCCTGCCATCCTGAGGCTTTTAACTCTTATAATAAAATGGCTAATGTTGTCATTTTAAAAATTCCGACAGGAGAAGTCACACCATACAACGGGACTCACATAAGAGGTTTATTGGAAGAGGAGAGAGAAGGGGCAGAAAAGGAGGCTGAGAGGGGTGCAGAGGCCAGCCCCTGGGAACAAGAGTGGTGGAGAAGTAAGAGGGAGAGAGAAAGAGACCCCTGGTGGACAAGGCCCACCTTTTAAAAGGGAACACAGAGAATGTGCACGGGCGGTGCTCTTAGTGGCTGCAGCTGAGGGCGAATCCTGTCAGGACCCCCAATGACCGGCCCGCACAGATGCCTGAATACTAATTAAATTATGATGAAACAAGCTGCCATTTTTCCTTGAACCTCTGAATTTCTTTTATGCTTTGATGATAACAATTTCTGCATAGCTTGAATGTTGATGTCATTGGGGAAAAATCATGTAGTTTTGTTGAATGAGCCCCAAAAGAAAATCAGATCTTGTGGGAATCAAGTAAGTAGAATTCTATCATGGGAGCCTGACCCAAGAAGAGGAAGCAAAGAAAGAAAAGACTGCAAAATAAATAAATAAATAAAGATTACAACAGGGCCAGGAAGATGATTCAGCATTGCCTCCCATGTACAGGGGAGCAAAGAAGCCACGATGCCTGCTTCTGGTGAGTCCCTTTTCTTGTAATAAAATGCCTCCTGGAAAAAAATAAGTAAATAAGTGTAGCACAAATAGTAAAAACCCAGAGACAGATATGGGGATTAAAGCTGAAGATCAGAGAAGCAAAGTGGCCAAGTCACTAGAGAGTTCTCACTCCTACCAATGCACAGACTGAAGGGTGATCCACCAAACCTCAGACTGCATCTCCAGACCGCACTGCTGCTCAGATTCACTGAGACTGCGGACTGAATACAGTCTGAGACCCTGAGCTGGTGTCTTTATTCCTCTCTACTGCTGTGATTAAAGATGTGTACCACCACAGCCTGGCCTCTGTGGCTGCGTCTAACTTTGCATTCTGATCTTCAAGCAAGCTTTATTAGATCATAAAGTATCGCCACAAATAAGTGCCTTTAAATTTGAAAAAAAAATGGCAATGCAGTGGTTATTTGAATATTTATAGCCATAGCATAAAGCACTTCCTTGTTTACGTCGGGGTGTAAATAAGTAGATCACATCCTTTGTTTTCAAAGGAGAGTATGAATGAAGTCCACAACTACCATGAGTTATGCAGCCGAGTTGCCCACATTTGGGGAAATTGCTGGTGCCATCACATGTAGAATTCAGTGGGTCAGCCTCACCCCTGGGAAAACCGTCTTCATGATTGTAACATCTCCTCTGCCAGTTAAGTATATCATCTGTCTAGTTGGGTTTTCTGTTGCTGTGAAGAGACACCACAACCATGGCAATGCTGAGAAAGGGAAATATTTAATTGGGGCAGCTTACGGTGCAGAGGTTTAGTCCGTTGTCATCACGGAGGGACATGGTGGCGTGAAGGCAGAAGGATCGGAGAACCCAAACGGAAGCGAAGGCTATACAGGAAGTGAGCTGTGACGGTGTTGGTGGCTTGGGCATATCTAAGACCTCCAAGCCCGCCTCCACGTTGACACACCTCCTCCAACAAGAGCACACGTGCTCCAACAAAGCCACACCGCCTAGTAGTGCCATTCCCGGTGAGCTTATGGCGGCCAGTTACATTCAAACCAGCACATCGTCCTGTTCGTTGTCGGAGACGCCGTGCCTCCTCAGCTGGCCTCAGATCCATCCGTCTAGCTGATGACTTTGAAGTTGTGGTCCTCCTGCCCCCACCTCCCAGATGTCGAGATTACAGCAGCGCCGCCGGGTTAACCCAGGGCTCTGTGCACGCTGGGCAAACACTCTACCGACTGAGCTCCACCCCCCACTCTAGATAACTGAATTTTAGAAGATGGTACCCGGGGAAAGCTGCAGAGGGGAGGATCGGCATCACTGAGCAAAGCAGGGTGAAGCGGCTCTAACGAAGACTTTATCTGAAGAGGCGGAGAGCGACGTTTATTGTGTGTGGCAGTGCGGGGGACACCAAGTGCCCTGTGTGTCAGGAGTTCATCGGCCCCTTAAGTTGTACAGGCCCTTCCTTAACATTACT